TTTAATTAAGCAGGAAACGCGAAATTCGAATTTTAAAAAATCTTGGAGAAAAAATAATGCTGCAAATGTATCTGCAGTGTTCAAAAGTGTGAAATTTTGATCTCAGATATATGTGAAAAGATGACCTTATAAAAAACTAGAAAAGCTTTCGCCAAATTGTAATAAGATAAAAATTATGTTTTTTTGAATATAAATTATTGCCTAAAACAGTAAATATATCACTGACATAAAAAATAGAGAATGCTGAATATGGCCATCCCTTCTTTATTCAAACAATTCTCTGAACAATTATTCAAACAATGAATTTAGAAAACTTTCTGGAGCAATAGAAAATGTTCTGTGCGAAACATGTCTGCCCAACTCCCTGGGTTTTAAACTCGAATTTCTTAAGAATTTTAAGGAATAAAATGTTTCAGTTCGAGAACAAGAAAATTTGATTTTTGAAAAGGCTGAGGTTTTCAATCAGACGTCATCGACAGCCTGAAGAATGATATAGCTAAAAATAATTCTAGCAGGAAACCACTTTTACCCGTAGACTTTATCCAGAGAGCATTTTTTTCTTCCCTGAGAAAATTTTCAGCGAATAAAGTAGAATATTGTGAACCTTTAAAACTAGGCATTCGCGCTGTCCTTGAAAAACGAGATAGACAAAATGTTGTCGGCTCCAATTTTCTAAAATTTTCAATGCACAATTCATGCCTTATATTCGAGCCTGGATGATTTTGTACAGATATCTCTCGGGCAGTAATTACAGAACTTTTACGGTCGATTTCGCAAGTGCAGTACTTCATAGCATCGGCTCGAGTCATGCCAAGGACGACCTAGCCTTTCATCACAAGAGTCCGTTACTGCTTTCAAGATTTTAAAAAATCAAACGATGAATAAATCTGCTCGTTGTTGAAAGGACATAAGGATCTACAGTATACTGGAATAACTATTGTTCAAAGCGACCAACAGACCGCCAAAAAATAATTCCCAGAAAAAATCGGGCAATCCCGTCTCTCAATTTTCAATCGAAATAAATTGATCAATTACAGTACGGAGTTAGAATCACTGCGCAAGACAACAAAACATATTATGGACAGTTTTTACGAGGTTGTTATAATCTCAAATGTGTCAATTTAACAATAGGTTCCCAAGTTTGCTAAACTCTGCATAGATGGCAAGAGTGTCGCAGCAGGGTGCAAGAAATTTGCTTGTTTGATTCCTGAGGTTCGGGTCTATGTCTATACCCACATAATTGATGTAATTGATATATACCCACATGATTGATATATTGATGTAATTGATCAATTACAGTGTAGCTAGTGCAAATGAATCGAGTAAGGGACCCTCATCAGGTTCCTCAACAGCGACATCTATCTACAGCCGTTAAAAATACTATGACCAGTTCAATCACCCACCAAGACATTAACAGAAGCAGCATGACCCATGGATATTATGGTATACTTTCCAACTCACCGCCACTCACTTCCATGCTGCCCCTCTACATGGCTATTCCCTTCCACTCCATCCCTCAATGCCATGAATGAGTGACTTTATTAACTGCGCATGCTTGAAATTAGGAATTACATGTACAGAATGGTATAGGAAGATAACATACTATGCTATACATGAACTTGCAGCATTCTTAATGTTTTATTCTCATGCAATTCTCTGTATTTATTATCTTGCAAATAGGAATTACATGTTACAGAATGGTGTAGGATGATAACATACTATACTATACATGAACTTGGAGCACTCTTAATGTTTTACTTTTGTTATTTTATGAGTAGTATTCAGTGGTGGCCAAAATGGCTAACACATTCAAAGGCATTCCATCACTACTGCTTATTTGTGCAAATAAATTTCAAACATGGCCAGAAAAGAATTACTTTTTTCTGAGAATTAATTCCTTGAATGTGACACCCCTCCAAAGGCACCATGCTGTAGTGATAAATGTGAATGCATGACTTATTTTCTGATGAATCTGTATATTAGAGCAAGTTATTCATGCATTTGAATACAGAAACCAATTATGATTTAAACAAAAAGAGTGCAGTACCCAATTGAATTCAAAACACCAATAAAGTATAACAGTAGTAATTTTTCAAACATTCCAAAATACACAAAATTTTTAATTGTTTTGAAAAGATGAAAAGTTTCACCTCATGAAAAGTGAAATTTTTGAAGCTCATGCAAAAGTGACATCTATACAAAAGAACTACAATGCATAATAATTAAATAACTGCTTTTCTCAAAAAGGTGTTGGTCTTATGTGTTATTGGTTTTAAAGATTGGTAACAACAAAAATGGCTGATTATCAAGTATTTTTGCTGAGAAAAAGAATGAAGAACTGCAGGAAATTCTAATTGGGGATATTCTAGGCCTAGAATTGCCTCTCAAATGTTAGGATGCAGAACTTGGAGGCAAGGGTTAATTTGCCCAATTAAAGTTCCACTTCCTTTCAAAAAATTACATTTGTATTGCATTCATCTTTCCTGTGTCAACAGAATAATAGCCAAATGGGCTCCAAAATTCATTTTATTTAGGTTTGTTTGTCCATGCATGTCTGCATTTCATATTTATTTCTAATGAAATTCAGACATGGACTTGAAAGCAGTTTGACTTAGGGAGGTCCCATGGTTTATTATTGAGGTTCAACTTTGTTTGTAATATAGATCTCACCATCAGTGCTTGTACATATACACAACTCATGCAAAAAGTCCATGCAGTCATACAATAAAATTGATTCCTGCTTTGCTTATAGATGTCTCATGTGCATGAAGTACAAGTGGTACAGTTTTTGTTTGCTCTTTAGAATAAAAATAATCAAGCTTATTGAAATAGGGAGATCTTTAGAAGAATTCAGAAGAGTTCAGGGAAAATTAATAAAAAATGAACACCATCTTTCCTATAAAATAATCCAAATAAAAAGGGGAAACATTTTCAATATTTTTCAAGCTTTAAAAATTTAGTATATTCTAACTTTTGCACAAAACACAGAAAAATTGTGCTGATTTTCAGAAAAAAGTGGGGGAAATTCTACAGCAGGAATGATGTCTAGTGGTGGATACTTGCTGTCATTTTCAAACATTTTTGAAATAGCCACCAAAATTGGCACTAATAACAGGATATTCAAATTTATTTATTTATTTATTTTGAAAATGTTTTCCTTATATTTAAACTGTTATTTGTCCCTTGGAGTCTCAGTATTCATTTTCGCCGCCAAAACATTCCAGCTAAAGTCACTCAATGAGAGACTGGCGCTCCTAGGGGTGGCGTGGAAGAGGTAGCCCTGAATGGAGCGGCTTTGAGAGGAAGTTGTACCCCAATGTCGCGTCACGATCATTGGAATTTGAGCTGCAGTATTGAATTGACTACCACTCTTATTTGTTGACTAAGTGAATTGGGGTTGTGATGCTGTGTTATCTGCGTAAACGGACTCAGCGATAAACCGCAATTGCGTAACGCTGCTCGAGGACTCTTTCCTTCCGTCAACAACCTTTTTACAGTCTAGCGTGCACCGTTCAGATGATTTCGAGAAGGTTGAATCCGAGAATTATTGAATCCTAGGTTTTCTGCTTGAATTATGCCGCTGTTGGAGTTGAGCGAGTAACACGTAAGCCTAAACATAACGTGTATGTTTTAGATGCAGAGACGATGGCGTGCGGCATTTCAAGGTGCTGCGTGATCCACAAGGAACATTTTTTTCTGTGTGTGTAAAATTTGACTGCTTAAATGAATTGGTCAACTATCGCTGTTCTGCTTCTGTTTCAAGATCACAGGATATATGAAACAGAGATCAAGGGCCAGAGAGAGTGAGTGGAAACATAATTGTGATAGCGGTGCTTTCATCATCTCCAACAGAATTCTGATCTGAGTTCCCAACAGTTTGTCGTTCATGTAATGTATGACTTCACTCCTCAGGACATGGGCAAGTTGGAATTCCATCGTGATGACGTCCTCATTATCTTTGATTTTCTGTGGCAAATTATTGCAGTGTTTATGATGGTCCTCCCGCGCTCTGTTTTTCAAATAGGGTGATCATGGAACTCCTCAATCGAGACGCCAAAGTCGGATCGAATTGCTTGCCTTTGTTCCTGATTTTGACATTGACTCATTGTGTGAATTCCTTCAGGCTATTTGTGTGCACATGCATCCCATGGTTCCTTTTACTGTTGCAAAGTTTCACGCAAAATCCATGTTGACTGCTCTGGGAAGTTTGATTACCCAACATTTTGCGGAAAAACGCGTTTTTTTCTCAATTTCTAAGGATAGTCTTATTGAAGCCTTAGCCTAGCTACATTTGTGTCTTTGGAGCAAACTGTGAAGGCCATCGAAATGAAGCAAGAAGAATGAGTTGTTCTTTTTTTAAAGCAGTTTAATGATTAAGTCCAGATTCATTTTGTGATTGGGTGAATTTATTTTGAGGAACATATGAAAGTTATGTAAACTGGACAGTATTTGAACTATTTTCTCTTGAATTTCAGTATACATAATCTTGATCCCCTTGACCAATTTTTGTAAGAAGGAGAAGAGTTTTAATACCAAATTCTTTTTTGCTATGTGTAACCAAGGTTCTGCACGTTGGTGTCTCATTTAAGCAAAGTGTTTGGGAGCGAGATGTTCAGTTGAAAGTTCCAACTGATTAATTACAGGATGATATTTCGGTATACCATACTTTGGTTTCAACTTGAAACCAAAGTATGGTATACTGAAATGCAGGTGGTCCCTTGCAATTTGACCCTAATCCATTGCCAAACTAGGGTTGTATTGCAAATTGGTCAAAATGCAAGACTCTCTGTCAAATTTAAAATGTAAGCACAAAAACTGTAAAAAATGGAAAAAGCTGGTCACATTGCAGGGCAGGAGTCAAATTAAAAGTCAACCTCCCTGCAACTCAACTTCGACCATTGAATTGCAGGATGGTCAAATTGTGGAAGGTTGAATTGCAAGGTACCACCTGTACTGTACAGCACTTGGGCCCCCGTGTGATTTGATCCGTGCATTCCTAATATTCATCTCATTCCCTAGGAAAATGCGCTTGATTATTTTGGATACCTCTGGTGCAGTTGCGGAGTGGTCCGCTCGATATGTTATTCAACGTATAAAGGATTTTAATCCCACGCCAGACCGGCATTTTGTTCTTGGTCTACCGACGGGGAGCACCCCTATGGGAATGTATAAGAAGTTGGCTGAGTACCATAAAGCTGGACTGGTTTCTTTCAAGTATGTCACCACATTCAACATGGATGAATACGTGGGTAAGTCAACTACAATTATTGTATTTGTTTTGTTGTGGAACCATTTCTTTAATTTAGGTATTCCGCGTGACCATCCGGAAAGCTACCACACTTTCATGTGGGAGCATTTTTTCAAGTATATTGATATTGATCCAAAGAATGTACACATATTGAATGGGAACGCCAAAGATCTCACAAAGGAATGTGAAGCATATGAAGAAAAAATCCAAGCTGCTGGTGGAGTTGAATTATTTATTGGCGGTATAGGCCCCGATGGTCACATAGCGTTCAATGAACCGGGCTCCAGTTTGGTTTCAAGAACGCGCTTGAAAACTCTGAATCAAGAGACCATAATTGCAAATGCTCGATTTTTTGACAATGATCTGAGTAAAGTACCCGCTCAAGCCTTGACAGTTGGCGTGGGAACTGTTATGGATGCTCGTGAAGTAAGTGTCAGTGAACATGTTGTGTCAAAACTTCATCATATTTTTCCTTATGGATTTCAGGTCATGATTTTAATCACGGGAGCTCATAAAGCATTTGCTCTGCACAAGGCAATTGAAGAAGGCATCAGTCACATGTGGACAGTCAGCGCGTTTCAGCAACATCCAAAAACAATTTTTGTTTGTGATGAAGATGCCACTGTGGAGCTAAAAGTTGGAACTGTGAAATATTTTAAAGTGAGACAATTTTCTGTTTGTGAAGCTTATTTTGGTTTGACCAAAGTGTGTTGTAAAAACCTTTCTTAGCATTGAAGAATCTCTCATCTGATTGGACCCAAACCAGTCAGATGGTTTCTGCAAGTCATTTGGTTTTTGGGACTCTCATTTTAGTTTCATGTTGATACGTGTATGGAGGACTTTCAAAGTTTTCTTATTTTAATCTTTGAATAAATGGTATTTCTTTTCAGAATCTGTGGGAATTGCATAATAAGCAAGCACCTGATCCATTCCTGGATATCAAGTCAGCATGATGAAGCATCAGGAATTCTCTGTTGGGTACTGAACAGAGGAGTACACTGCTGTAGTCAACCTTCACTAAATATTGTGAAATCATTCATTCTTGTGCAGAACGTACTCCACATATTTTTATGATCAGTTTTTCTCTCACATGGACTATTTTGAATGTTTCATTTTTTCAACGCTCCTGTTCAAGTAAATGTTGGTGCTTCTGTGCATTTTATGCATATCAGTTGTACACAATTTTGTATGCTCTCTTGCTTTCTTTTCAACTCACTTGCTGGGTGATTGATGTACCCAACGTTTTTCATCTTGCAGAGGAACAATGTGATCGCGCAGTGATTTTTTTCCAAGTTAAATCGGGTAGATGTCTGTAATAATAGTATGGATGAGAGTTTGAAAGCGTTGTGGGCAAGCTATGTGTTGCCTGGGGATCTGGTCGACCTTCCAGCATTTTCCGATTCCTTTGAATGCACGGATTTATTGAGTGACGATGCACTAGATCCCAAAGATTTACTGAACTTCACGGCGCCTGAACGATCTGTTGATTCCATTGTACCTGACAACATTTCTGCTTCCAATGAAGAAATTTTGTAAGTTTTTGTAGAGATAAGCAACTTTATTAGGTAAGATTGTTTTTCACTAACGTACAATGCTAAGCAATGTATACAGTACAAACGACAAAGTAATCCTTGTTTTGAGTCTAATTTTTTATATACTGTAAATAATGCTGTCATTCCTTTGCATTAAAGTTTATGTGCACTGAGCAATCTATTGAGATCTGTGCATTTCCAGGTCTTCTCCAAAAAATAGCGAAGACTTTCCCTGTCAAGCGTGTGATCAAAAATTTACAAAACGATCCCAGTTCAACTTGCATCTGTGGAAACAACATGGAATTGGGAGAAGCTATGCCTGTGAGGATCCTTCTATTCTTTCATATATAATTTGAATGTTCATTTTATTTTTGGTTTCTGCAGGCATTGATTGTGGATATTCATCCCTTAACAAGTTTCATGTGATCAAACATGTGGCAGCTAGACATTCGGCAATCCGGAAAGATTTCTGTTGTCAGGATTGTGGGCGTAGCTTTAAAAGTAATGCAGGACTAATCACGCATTTGAAGTTCTTCAATCACGGTCCTGCTCAAAATCGTCTAAAGGTTGGTTTGAATCATTTGCTGTGCAATGTGGAGTAATTAATGCCTATGCCAAAATGTGACATGTTTTAATAGTGTCAGGATTGTGCATTTGTTGCCAAATCCAGCGAGCTGTTACGGAAACACGTTGGTAATGCGCATGGGAAAAAGCTTGATGGATCCGTGATTGTGAAGCAATTCCGTTGTGAATTGTGTGGAACAGTAGCTGCAAGTGCCAAAGAGTTACGTGCCCATTGTTGCGTATCTGAAGATAAGCGCAAGTTCAAGTGTAAGGAATGTCAGTACTCTACATCTGACCGTAGTGCCCTGGAAAAGCACACCAGGAGACATGCAGGAGAGAAACCTTTCACGTGCGAATTATGTCCCTACAAGTGAGTGATGGAACAAGGCATGACAGATTTTTCCTTTGAAATTACATTCCAAGTATTCGATGAAATTTCTATCTACAGTAGTTTGAACAAGATTTAAGATTTTTGGTTTAAATTGTTTTTAATTCAGAATTCACGTCCTCGGACTTCATAGTGTTTGACATGTTTGTACCTTGTATTCAGGATATATAATTGTAAAATTCTCCAGCAATTCTGTCAAGTTTTGGGCAAAGAATTAAATGCAAACTTCTCATATCTTCTAGATTCATATAATCCTGAAGGTATGCAAATGTAGAATCATATGTTATCTTTGTTTTCTTGAATCTGTAGATCAGTAACAAGGAGTGGGTTATTGAGGCATAGACGTTCGCACACCCAGGATAAGCCACACGAATGTCAGGAATGCGGACTGATGTATGCGGACAGGAAGCGTCTGAAAGATCATTTGCTGAAGCATGAAGGAAAGAAGCCATTTAATTGTGATTTGTGCGGCTTGAGTTTCCGTCGGCGGGACAATCTAAAAATGCATCTGCTGCGTCGACACAGGCAAAAAAATCAGCATGCTTGAGAGGGGTGATTTGAACTATCTGTTGAAATGTTTTTTGAGCACCAGTGCATAAGGCCTGTGTTCAATGGTGGCTAGATTTTTTTGTTTTGTTTCATCTGCTTTTATTTTTTTGTTGCAAGGTTATATTTTGAGTTTTAGCCTTTGTTGCACAACTCCGTTGACGTGTTCATAGTTTGGTTCAAGATTTTGCAGGGCTTTCCGCATTTTTTTATCCAGTCCATGGATGCCATTTTTTATGTTTTTAAGGATTGTGATAACTCTGCTATATCAAAGTATCCATTGATCTGTGTTAAATTGGGTTATTTAAATTTTCTAATTGCGTCAGTATCTGGAAGGCGATTTTTTTTTCTCCATGTCCATTGAGGTATGAAATTCAGCGGTAACAGGAATCTCCATGCAAATGCCTGAAGCGAAACAATTTGAGTGTCATGCTACGTGAAGGTATGTGGTTTTGAATGACTTAATTTTGTTCATAGTGCAGTGAGAGCAACAAATCAGCATAGGTGGATCACAGTAGATATTGCTCATCGGAAATCATGTGAATTTTATTGGATTTTGTATGTAAGGGTGTTGTGTTGTAGATGTGTGAGGTTTTTGCAATTGCTTATTGCATCTTAAGCTCTCCTGATTATCTTGTTGATGCAAGTATTCTAATTTACAACGAGGATGAACAAAGTGACGACGAAACGAGTGAGCCTAAATCAAGTGAGCATTTAGCTTAGGGTCGACAGTATGTGAATCTTTGCTTCCGTTTTACATTTACCTGCAAGTGCAAGTAATATTTCAAAGACAAAGCATATATGTCTTTTTTATTCATTCATGTGTAAATGGAGAGAAGAACAAAGAAGTGAACACAAGTGATTTGAAAATTTCTACAAGCACCGTGATTGTTTGTGTTGCTAGTTTGGTATCTTCTACACAATTTTCATTTGGAATTTTTTCCCATCTACAAATTTCTAAATGATACGCGATGGTTTTGTTACGTTTGTCAGCAATTTTTTTTTTTTTGAGGGGTTGTGGGAGGTTGTGTGGGTATATGCAGCAAGGTGTGCTGCGTGGTGAGGTCAGCAAGAAAAGCCATATCAAACCGTGTTTTTGGTCCTTCATGCTTTTACAAGCCGCAGTGAACAGGAGGTCTTTCAAAATGAACAGGTGGCATTATTTCTGCCGCCTGAGGGCTTCTTTTTTTGCTGCCACCTGGTAGTGGCCCCTGTGATTTTTATTTGTTTTTTGTTTACTTGTCGCATTTTGTTTCCTTTTTTAACATTATGATATTCACAGTATCCTGTGAGATTTGAATTTCAAGGCGTTGTCCAATTTTGCTGTAACATTAAAGCATGAAAATTCAAACCAAACAATTTCTCAAATTCATTTCTTGCTTTCAAATTTTCAATCTGTTGTTTTCATTTCAAATTTATTGTTTTCTCTGATTTTCAGATGGTGTCAACTGCAACCTTGAAAAAGATTGCCTTGGCAGGTGGCATTGTGTCTCTTGGCTCTGCGGTTTACATGCAGTTGAGAATACAGTCCAAATTCAAAGATCAGAATTTCTATAAGCAAACTATGCGTATTGTCCGATCTTCTGTGTAAGTTCTTTCTAATAAGTACAATTGGGTGAACATGCATTGAATTTGTTTTGAGATGCACCCAAGGTGTGTTCTTTTTTGTTGCTCAAGTATAGTGTATGTTTTGAAGAATTAATGCAAGTAGAGTATTTTAAAGTACAGTACTATTGTAGTCCATATGAATGCGTCTACAACTGCGAAGTGTTATGTTGAAGAAATAATTGAGTGAACTTCTCATTTTGTATTGGGTAAGCTTTTATGAGCAAAACCTGTGTGTGTGGTCAACTGCCTAGATCGCTGAGGTTCCACTTCGGATGTATGTTGCCAGCAAAATACTGCATCAATATCATACTCTGAAGACTAAATATTGTAGTATACAGTGTACATATTTGCAGGGAAAACATTTCAATCCTATCTTGAGTTCAGGAATGAATATTTCAGGGCCGCAGATGCAGTTGTGGGATTACCGATATGGGACAAGAGAATCGACTTGGGCGACAGTTTCAATAAGGTTACTGAGTTGGAAGCGGAGATAAAAATCCCAGTGACAGGGTCAAAATCCAGTGGCAAAGTTTTTTCATGGTCTACCCGTGATCCAACCAATGATCTTGACTGGACTGTGATGCGGATTGAGCTCGAAGTTGAGTCCAAACAAGGCTTTCGGCTACTGATATTTGATCAGAACCACCAGGCCAATGTTGAGGAAGAAGCAAAGGCCACTGTTGCTTGAGAAGAATGGAATGCCAACTGATCAATCTTAAATTATTCAGATTTTGTACTGTATTGGAGTGTAGTGTATCTTCATCATATTTTGTTGAAAATCTGCATTATAATGCCAGGATGTGATGGCATCCTGACAAGTTTGCTGATGCCATCATCATGTGATGAACATGGACTTTTAATGATTGTTCTGAGCCATAGAGCAGTAATAAAAAGTTCTCAGGGATCAGCATAGGGTGCTGATGTCCTTCATAACATCAAAAACCTTCATTACTGGAAATGAAAATCATGGAAATCTAGATACAGTGGTGCCTCGCCGTACGACTGCTCCGTCCAACGACGGATCCGCCGTATGACCATTGAAAACTGTAAAAAAAGGCCCGCCCAACGACCTTCGTCCCGCCAAGCGACCATTTTTTGCTAGGCAGGCAACTCAGATTTGACTTGAAAAAAATTTTTTTCTTCCCCAAACGCCCTACTAACTTATTTTTTACATTCTTTCAAAGAATTAAGTGAAAGATAATACTTTGGTAAAATTTAGGATGTCACCAAAGAATGCAAAAAACAGGAGAAATCTTCCATCCATTTGGAAATTCATTCTCTTTTTTTTTCTCACTTGATTCTCTGAAAAAATGTAAAAAATAAGTCAGTAATCTAATTCCTGGCACACAAAAATGCACATCAAAAATGGAGTTGTCAGCACAGCAAATTTTTTCTGGCCTTCCTTTGAACTAATAAGTATAAAAGTAAAAAAAAAAGTATGCTGTTCTTTTTTCCTCCCAACAAAAATGTTTGTGTATCAAGCATTTTTGTTGAGGGAAAAAGAGAAGAACAGAAGGAAATTGTAATTGGTGATATCCTAGGCCAAAATTGCTGGAATTGATAGCAGTTTGTTCTTCATGCAAAATTACACAGAAGGTTCAACTCCTGCTTCACCCATAGATGTCGCATATGCATGAAGTACAATTGCTATTAATTTTCTGGGTTATTATTGAAAGACAGCAAGGCAATTTAGCAAGAGAAAGCATTTGAATGAACTGTAGCAGTGTTTATAAGGATCTTTGCTTTGTAATTTGAAAATTTAGGCAAATTTTTGCATTTTTCCATCAGAATTTTTTTTTCAGGGAACCAATTGAAGGGATTTTCCTTAAACCTTAAGGGAAAAAGTGTTCCACGGTACGACCGTTTCACCCAACAACCATCGCCCTGGAACGAATTGTGGTTGTTGGGCGAGGCACCACTGTATAGTCAAATGTTTCAAGGAGGCTGGAAAAGCATGGCCTCTTTGGAAAAACAAAACTGACCCTGATCCAAAGACTTTACACCTTTTCAGACTTTATAAATCAACTCCAGATTTTTGATTTTACTACGTAAGGCATTAAAGAATGACTTTCTGCAATGATGATTCTTTTTCAGATTTATGAATTGTATTCCATGAGAATGAAAGAGAAATCAGAAGAAAACTGATCTCATTCATAAAAATTTCAATGACAAAAAAGCTGGCAACAATGAGCTGGGTGGTTCCAGTGATACCCTGGGTCCTGCAAAAAAGTAGGAAATGCCCATAATACAGCAATTCAGCTGGGGGACTGGTAGCCAAAGTTTAAACAATTAAAGTAATTTGAACATCAATAATGAACATTAAAAACAGTGTCTAGTACTTATCAATTGAATAACCAAATACAATCTTTGAAGTATGCAACTTTTATAAATTGAAAATAAACAAATAAAAACATGTAACCTTTTGTTTGCAGTCCTGCTTGGTTGAAATGAGTTTGTAAAATTAATGAAAGAAGGTGACTCCAAACACACCTCTTTTTTTTACCCTGTTCTTTGGGAAGATGTGGGCATGGTACATGAGTAAATTAAACTGTGTTTGATTAAACTAATTTCAAATGTAAAACATTTTACTACAGTACATATCAAGACTAAGAAGGAAATCACACAAAAAAATAGCATCTACAAAATGAAGGAAGTTTCATCCTAGCCAAGTGGTTATACTGCATTTCCTTCATGTCTTCACAAATGAACAAATCATACTGCCATTGGGTTTCAAAAACTATCTGTCCCAGTAGCAGGTACCACACCGGTCACGCATCAAAAACTCACATTTAAGACTTGACTCAAGTATGCCAGACTACTGGCTAATACTCCGGTGGGCGGCAACGACCACAAGCAGCATGGAAATTTTCAGTTACACGATCCCGTAGATCAACTGGAATGCGCGTCATACACTGATCGAAATATTTCAACAAGGTACTGTATGAGCTTTTAAACTTGGTGATCAAACTCAATAAATTAATTTCAAACAACTTTCAGAAAAAGCATCCCTACAGCCGGCAAAACACACAAATCCTTGTACTTTGAATCAAAGATAAGAAGAAACAAAGGCGACGCGGTACGCAAGTCAAAATTTCCCTAGCCCTTTGCCTCATCAACTTCTAGGGCACGATGAAAAGATTAAGCTGAGTACGTGAAGTGCGAGAAAGCAGCTGTCTATTCACGGAAGTACAGTAATCTTGTTTGCCTCTGCAGTACGATACGAAACTGGATTTTTAAGAGAGCGCACGTACACTTAGCGCTGCTCGAAAGATTATGCTCGGAAGAAACCAGCTTCATCTCCAGAGGATTTTCCAAGACATATATTTAAATGGAATACATACTCGATTTTGTCAGGCATCAGGATGGAAGGAAAAAATTACTCGATCGTATCAAAATTCAGGCAAAAGAAATGTTCATTTGCGCAGCACCCAAAAGTTACGGCTTTCCCGGCTAAAATCCACACAGAGATCAACAAATAAATTACTAGGATTCGAGTTCTCTTTCAACATCCGTCCCAAATGTGTGTTGACAGCCTGGCCAGGCAACAACTTGGGAGGCGCAGTTAGAAGCATTGCGAGACGAGGTCCAACGTACGTACAAGGGAAGTGTGTGAACATACGATCAACCACTTAATCGGAACGGGTCTATCAAATACAACCAGGACTGAACACGCTGCATCCCGGGATACCCAAAAAATATATACGGATGTTCTGGCGGGATACGGGACGTGTTGCAGAGTGAACACTTGGCAATGATCACAGAGACGTCAGAGGACGGGGACGCCGTAGGGGTCCAGACCAGCCACGACGTCGTTGAGCCATCCCTAGGTGTTTTCACGGCGGCGTATTGTGATAAGGCTGTCTTCGGATTCATCATGCTCGCCAAACCTGGGTGGCATTCTGGAGCCCGAAGGATGGCGCCCTCCTTCTGCTTCGATGTCATTTGAGCTCCCACTACTACTTGTTTCCATGCCTGCGAGATAAACTCAAATTCAGTCTCAAGAAACATACTATACTGTACTGAGAAAAAGACTCGTTCAATAGGTTCTGAGATGCTTACACCCGCTGACGCTTGAGAAGTTGACATAGCAACAATTATTTAGCATCTTTCCCATTGCCCCGATTTTGAAGAATATTCTTGCTGAGCCAGGTGAAAATAGAGTTTTCAAAGTCTTAAAATGCGTTTCCCAACGTCATCAAGTGAAGGCCATGCAAGAGCAGAAGTACAGATGAAAAAAAAGACATTAACCACATGCATTTTATTGAAGAATATAGATTATACAGCGAAGTATTCGTGCAAGTGAAAGTGGTGAGACTGCAGTTCTTTTTTTATTCGATGAAATCCACGTGTATTTATCCCTGTTCAGTTCTATATCTCATACCGTACTCATATGCTCATGCACAAATGTCACGAAAAGCCAGAAGGCGGAGCATGCAAAAGCCCAACAACCCATTCGGACAAAAATTTCCCTACAGCTGGAAACTCGAATAGCAATTCTTAAATTCTGCAGACTTGGCAGTTCGCTCATGGAACCACAACGAACCGCAGTTGTCAGGTTTCGCTGTATGGACGCATCCAGACATCGGAGTGAAGCGGACAAAATACGAAACGTTAACTTACTGCCTACGTAGATTGTCCAGTTTTCCCCGCGATATGGAAATATTCAACGTGGAAACTGGGATGCATCGAAAGATACCCAAGGTTCAGCCCCCACATTTTAACCTAGTTCCTAATCCGTGGAAACTACAGGGAAAGAAGTGAGATACCCTTCTATTCACAGTAATGAAAAATACAGTACTCTCTTTACCCATGCATTCATGTTCAAGTTTGATTAATGTCGTCGATTTGGTACGGATTTATTTCAGGACTTAGTGCTTTTCAACCCATTAAATATTAACCCTATTCTCGCAGCATCTTCGCAGTAAGTAAAAATGTATCAATCGTAAAAATAACAATAAAAACTTAACAGAATTGGTGGAAATCCTTTCTTGGATCTCACGCGGAAACCAGGAAATTCTCAATTCAACTCACGCATCAAGTTTGACCTTGACAATTAAAATTACCATATACTGCACAGTACCATAAGTCTTGAATGTGCGTTCGTGGATTTCAAATGGAATGACGTTTGCCACAAATCAAAAGAAAAAGCTAAAGACCAAAAAACCCGCAAAGTTCATCAGCTTATGACGAGCAAAAAATTTCGATGAGTTAATGGATCACGTGCAGTACGAATTGTTATGTACTCGTTTGAACTGTGAAAAAGTTTCAATGCTAGGACATCGTCATTTCAAACCGAGCACGCAGCTAACCTTTGCACCCTTGGAAAGACCAGCTCACCCGTACAAACCAGGCTCGTGAATTGATTCGAGAAACAATGTGGTTAGGATACAAAATGACTTTTTAGATTCTATTCCATTCGACCGTAAAGCCTCCCAACAAATCGCAAACTCATCTGCCCCGATCAAGACTGACGGACGCATAACGTTGCCTTGGTAACATCGAAGTACTGTACGTAATTATATACGGCATAGCATTACTAGACGCAGCCAACTCATGCACAGGCACACGACCGAACAACTAAATCGACATAAGCAGTGAAGACAAGAGAGAAAAGATTGAAGGACGGGATAGTTTTTTAAATGACGGTTCAAATCCCATCACCCGAAAATATTTACAACTGATGGGAGACATGCCAACAACGCAGGTTTATTCGACAAAACCTTCTCAATTACAACCCTAAGACATGCACGTGATTGAAGCCAATGCCCAGCGAATCGGTGTATTCCCAAAACTCGATCCACGTTTCCGAAAAAGCAAACGCTACCAGCATGCATGAAAAATCAGTCGCGTTTGAACTCCACGCAAGAATCTTTTCGGAAAGGAATGCAAACAATTGGTGTGTCACGCGAGCACAGCTTCGCGCACACCAAATTAGCTCGATCAAGCAGTGGACGCTTTTCGCCGGTATCTTGAAACAAAAAATTTGGTTTCACCAATTCAGACTTGACGCAAATGACGGCTCAGTTCTTCGGACGCACGTGAAATAATTTCATTCTAAACCAGGGCAGCATATTTTGTTCTCATGCTTCAGTAGTTTAAAATGACGAAGAGGAAAAACCTCGCAATTTCACGAAATGTGAACGTTTACGAAATAATATCACCTGGTCAAAAAATAATTTGAACCCTTAATCCTGAATCTTCGGAGGAAAAATTCGACAAGAAGGTTTCAAGCTTGAGACTCCCAACGGCAGAAAAGAAAAAAGCTCTTCAATTTGCCAATATTTGCTAGATCTTGTTGTCTGCAATTTGTCGGCCATTGACAGAAATTCCACCTCAAATCCAGTTCACAAAATGAAACAACCAACGATTTATAGACGCTTCAAACTTTCAAAGACATTTCTCCGTTTTGTGGCTGATCAGGTCCCATTTGATGAATCTGGGCAAATTTTCTCTGAGCAACTGGCCACGCGGCTGTCAGAAGACAAGTTAACGCGTTCTCCCACAAAATTTAACGGTCACGCTTTTCAAGTGGTTCTTGCAAAGCAATCACAAGCGTATGAATAAAAGAGATCTACGCCGTCGTCATTTCCATGTAGAATCCCTCTTCGTTCAGCTTCCCAGACTCACCTGCGGTGATGACTTGCTGCACTCGATTTCGGTCGTCCTTGATAAACCATCCATTCATCACGAAGAAAAGTCCGCCAAGCACTTCCACGAACACGCAGATGAAGAGCGCGTATTGGAGGCTGCGAAATTCAACGATTGGGTTCGTGGATGTAACGGAAGCATGTCCTCCACACGATGTAGCATTTGCAACTAATTCCACACCTTGCGAACCACCGCCGTATGATTCTTTCAGAATCTCTGAAACCTGCAAATGAACACATTAACAAAGAAACTTGTCATTATTCTGCATTCAAAACGGGTGGCAATATTATTGGGACGCCAATAGTTGGAGACGGTGAACCCAGATTGAAAAAAAATGAATACATATTCGCGATACATACAAGTAGGCTATTTTACGATGAGAAAACCGCACTAACTGTTCTGAATTTTAAAATCTGAGAATTCTGATTCTTGAAATCTAAGAATATTCCAAGAAGGCGCAAAATGAAACACGCCTTCTTAGTTATCCATCTACTAGCAGGCAATTTTCTTTATTTCCCAGAATCTTCGGTTATGTACTTGCTCACGTACACGGAGATTTGTACGCTTCCTCAAAATACGTTCGGAATTCCAAAATCATCAACACGAACGATAATTTCAGGGCTTTAAAAATAAAAACAAAATACATTTGTGCGATAGCGCATATCTACAGCATCTTAATGCACACAATTCTGTACTGTATATAAAAAATAAGACGATAGTTCTCGCAGCCTATTTCAACCGCATCCAACTGATTTCTCACCTGCCCTATGAGATAAGGGCTCCCTGCATCGCCAAACGCATGTGAAATAAGGATTTGGAAAGCTTCTGCAGTTGATCTCCTCGTTGGAATCACTACGTACTGAAACATGTATTTCAGCGTAAAGGTTGTGACTTCAATGCGATCAATCAATGAAAACTCACCAACAAAATATCAGCTACCACAGACCAGTTGAGATTTAGGAACAATTCCCCAAAAAAAATAAGCGCAAAGGCTGCAGGAGTATTATACTCGGCACAAATTGAGGCAAAGAAAAGGAGGGGCGCCGACAGCAGCAAGCCAATTGCACAGACCATTGGGTCCGTTTTATCCCACTTCGGCCTCAATTTCTGGGCAATGAATGCTCCAAGAGGTACACCAAGAATCCCAGAGATCATTGTGATAAGACCAAACTTGAATGCAACCCTGCAACAAATTAAGCAAGTTAGAAATCTTAGTACACTCTGAGATTAAGATGTCATTGAACAAGTTTATCACGTTAAAAAAATAAAATAAAAATATCGTAATACTGTAGAAAGGAACAGGACCATTAGCTTTTGAAATATTGTACTGTATATCATTGAGTTCAATACAGTAGCTTACTTAGGTATCCTATAAAAACTATTGGGTCCAGTATACTGTACCTGAAATTAAGGGTGTTCAGGCAAAATATTGGGATAAACGATGTGTCAAATATCAGAATCGAGGCTTTCCACAGAACAAGTTTCAAGCCTTGTCGGTCACAAAAATTCCAGGTGCCATTCGAACAAAGAAGCAACTTACTGATTTTCTCGGCCAACATCTGTATTTCCTTGAGCTGCCATACCAAGGGCAATAAATTTAGGACCCCACCACGCCAGAGCTCCAGCAACAAACGCCACGCACGTGAAACCGATCGTGGAGAGCATAAAACTTGCGCTGCAGAGGTTATTTTCTCGTCAGTCAACATAGATTAGAATACAGGGAATCCATAAATTCTTCTCATAAAAATGCTGTATCTAACTTACTTCTTGCATAGGGCTTTGATATCTTGTCCCCACGACGTTGGTTGCAGATGTGCCCCTTCACTTTCACCTCGTGGTGGATCATCCATGAAGAAAATTATGAAGATTATCGCCAACAGACCCATAGCTGGAGTAACTCGAAGGCTCCATTGCCAAGCACCAAACGATTCTCGCATTTTCGAGCCGGTGATATAGCCGAGCCCGCTGCCCACCGGTATCGCAAAATAAAACAACGCCAGCATCCTTGATCGCATGTCTTTTACAAACATATCTGAGATGATGGTCGGGGCTATGGTTGAATAGCTTGCCTCGCCGATACCAACCATCGCTCGGAAGAAAATGAACCACCCAAAACCCTGAAAAAGAAAACTCCAGCATTCCATTTACGTGCAGAAAAAGTAATTGTACTCACAGTCATAAATGATCCAATAAACGTAGTTAGACTCCATAAAAATACTCCTAAAGCCATGATGAACTTCCTAGAATGACGATCGCCGAGATATCCGAATAAAGGAGCAAAAATCATATAGCTCAAAATGAATACGGTTTGCAAAAGACCGCCTTCATCGTCGCCTATGCCAAAGTAACATTGTAAATCCGTCAAGATACCTACAAGGAAAAAAAACGAAGTGAGAGACAATAAAAAAGAGGATGTACGGCTTACTTACCGGCCAACGTGAACCGGTCCATGTAATTGATGAGATTTACGAAACACAGAACAGAGACGGTGACGAGTTGACGACGAGTAAGCCGAGGCTGAGTTTCCTCGGACAAAGCATCTTTGGTGGTCTGCGAACTTTCATTTTTCATCAGCCCCACTTGGCTTTCATGAGGCACTGCACTCATCGTGCGGGACTCACGGGTACCCAAGATATTGTTCTAAATTGCAAACAAGAATCGAAAGTGATTCGTCCAGTCGGAAGCAAAATAAATCGAGCAGAGATTTATTTCTTTCATTTGACAGTTGATTAGTTCCGAAAGTTGCTTTGCCGATACAAATCGAATTCTGGATCGAGAGGCGTCATAAGCATTCACGTCGCACCATGACGCTGACCAGCGGGTCCTCGAAGTAATAATTACTAGGAAAATCATACGCATTCGAGGTAACGGGCAGTTCATCACCGAAATGTCAAGTTTAACTCACACGGCTACAAGCCGGACACAGCACTTCGGAGTTGCGAAATCCAACGATCGCAATTTCTCCATCCTCGAATTGAGCACAACATCGGACGTCAATAGCTTGCTGACGTCTGTCAACGGTCACCGGCATCTGGTCCACAGTACAGTAAATGCATGAATGAAACACGGGGGAGGGGAAGGGAGCGTAATACTGTAGTAGCGCAGGGTATCTACCGGCGAGGCTTTCAGGGGTATAGAAGGGAGCAGAGGAGAGGGAAGAACCCGGGAAAAGTCAGCATGTTGGGGAGAAGCGAGGAAACCAGTCTGTACGCAGGAGTGGAATGCCGGGTATTCCAAAATATCACGCCACCCGCACGGACCAATCATGGGGAGCTTGCACTATACCAGGCGGTTCAGAATGTGGGAAAATTCCGAGAATCCTCTTTTAGGGTAACAGATTTTCAAGAAACATTAATTTTCGGGGGAAATGTTGCCTTACTCAAGAGAAAAATCTGAGGCAGCGCATGGGTAACTTTCTAGAAATAGAAGGGCGCTAAGGTGGATCCAACTTTAACTCTCCATCCCCCTGTACAATGTTCCACAGATGTCTATTACTTGGAGAGAGCCAGCCTTCGATCTTCCCCTCAAGGATAGAGTAACAGTGTAACACACAGTAACCGTTTTTTTGTTTTTTGTTTTTGCTGAGATGTCTGTGAGGATAATTTCCTGTAAAGGTATCTGCATCCATGAATCAAACCCCAGAATGAATCGCTGCTCTTCCACACCCATTCTGGAACACCTCTTCTCGCAGTCAAACATCTCTTGAGCTTTTGTGGAAAATATAATTTCAGGGTTGGATTTAAAACAAAATTGGGCATATGGACCGGATGCAGTAGACAATCCTGCTCCAGGAAAAATCCTCAGCGCTTTCCCAACTGTAAGACATTTACATGAGCAAGAAGTAGTCCTTTTCCCTCCAAAATTCTACCAAATTTGAAATCTTATCCAAAACTAATCTTAATTGCTGTAGCAGTATATGATTTGCTGGATATGTTTGGACACTTGTGTCCGCAGAGAGATATTTAATCTTATTTATTTACTGTAGTTGTGTATACAGTACTTGCATTTTAAATGCTTGTGTGTGAAAGTTAATAGCGCCAGGCTTGTTGCAATAAAATAATGCACAATATTATGTGGATTGTTATCACGTATTTTTCAATGAAACAATGATTCACTGCCTGCTGACTTGAAGATTACTTCAAAATGGGATTTATATACAACCCTAGAGGTTTTGCTAATTGTTTGGAAAGTAAATCTGAGGCCAGCAAAGTGGCTATAATAATATCAGTCCGACGCGAATCAAAAATAAAATTTCAAAAGCTAGACCACCTTGACAGGTTGGCATCATCACACCATCAAGTACAGTATATAGATAGCCAAAATGCTTTCAAACAGGTTAGGCGGGGACACGATCTAAGGGAACTTGGGCAAACGTCTCCTTACCCTGCTTTCTGACCTTGAGGCAGAAGATTTAAAAATTTAAATAAAAAACAGAAGTTCCTTCTAAAATGTTGCGGTAGTAAAAAAAACATCCCTGGCAGCAGAAGCCTTGGATGATATTTTTGATGAGGAAATAAAAAAGAAATTGGAGATGAAGCAATTTCCTGCTCTTGGAAAAAGGGAAAATGCACTTACACTTTCATTCGTTGCACAAAAAATAATCATTTAAAACTGTGAAAATTTCAGAAAATGTAGGAAACTTCATGATATGAAACCAAGTAAAAATTTAAATTTTTTTCTGGCCTTACAATTTTTAAACAGGTTGTTGACATGGGTGGAGAACTCTGGCAAAAACTGGAAAGTTTTCACTTATCATTATGCAATAAATCATATTTAAAAAAATCTTTTAAAAAAACCCCAAACCCTTACAATTGCATGGGCTAAATCACACAATTTTTTCACATTTGTACCTACTCTAGAAATATTCTTTGCCAAGCGGAAGTGGGACAATCCTGGTATATGGACTGAGGCAAGGAATCAATGCATGGTGCAGTGCCCTACTGTACACTTGCATCACGTCCTGTGCTGCGAAACATATGTCAAGGCAGGCTGCCCCTTGGTATAGGTGGTGGACCCCTTGCTCACTGGACCGCCGCTCTGTGATAAATTATGTACTAGTTACTGTGGCAAACATTAATTCATGGCGCAGCTCTAGACCGCACGGCTCCAATCGATTCCGCAAGTTGTTTCACGTTGCCTTGAGCGGTGGAGTGGATGAATTTTTTCTGCTGAGTGTCTTGAAGGAATGACGAATGTGCGTGACACAGAATTGAAATAATGATCTGCGGAAATGGAAATCTAAGCCACAATTGGGCCGGGCAGATGGGTGAGCGCATGCAAGATTGTTTATTGGACAAACTTTCAGCCTGCTAATTGAACCTTTTTTTAAAGGGTATTAAGCGGTGCACATGACGATCGAACGCTAAGTACTAGCAAGTTTGAAATTTTTTTTTACTTCGGAAGAATGTCTCTACCGGTTTTACCGTCGAAGCAGAAAGAAATATATAAATACGAGGCACCATGGCCTCTGTACAGCATGAATTGGTCAGTGCGGCCAGACAAACGATTTCGTTTGGCTCTCGGGTCGTTCTTGGAAGAATACAACAACAAAATCCAAATTGTCAGTTTGGACGAAGAAACTTCCGAGTTTTCCCCGAAATCAAGCTTCGAACATCCCTATCCTACTACGAAGATAATGTGGATTCCGGATAATAAAGGTCTCTATCCTGATCTCTTGGCTACTAGTGGAGACTACCTTCGGGTATGGCGTGCGGGTGAACCTGACACTCGATTGGAATGCTTGCTGAATAATAATAAAAACAGTGACTTTTGCGCTCCCTTGACATCATTCGACTGGAACGAAGTCGATCCGAATCTGCTTGGAACATCTAGTATCGATACTACGTGTACTATCTGGGGATTGGAGACAGGTCAACCGCTTGGACAAACTCGTCACGTTAATGGGCATGTGAAAACGCAGCTGATCGCTCATGACAAAGAAGTCTACGATATTGCTTTTTCTCGAGCTGGTGGTGGTCGAGACATGTTTGCTTCCGTGGGGGCGGACGGAAGCGTCCGAATGTTTGATTTACGTCATCTTGAGCATTCAACAATTATTTATGAGGATCCTGGACACACACCTTTGCTTCGTCTGGCTTGGAACAAACAAGACCCTAATTATCTCGCAACTATTGCCATGGATGCGTGCGAAGTGGTAATTTTAGATGTAAGAGTTCCATGCACTCCTGTCGCAAGGCTAAGCAATCATAGAGCGTGTGTGAATGGAATCGCTTGGGCTCCACACTCTCCGTGTCACATATGCACAGCTGGTGACGATCATCAAGCTCTAATATGGGACATCCAACAGATGCCAAGGGCGGTGGAAGATCCAATTCTGGCTTATACTGCAGCGGAAGGCGAGATCAACCAAATCCAATGGGGTACTACGCAGCCGGACTGGATTGCTATTTGTTACAATCGATGCTTGGAAATATTGCGAGTTTGAGTTGATTTTTGTGCGAGTAAATTTGTGTTCTCTTGTTTTAATATTATTTTTCATGTGTTCGCCCCAGAATATCGCCGAGAAATTCTTATGTGACATTTACTTCCTCCATTACAGGTTTGATTAACAGTTTATTCGTATGAATACAGCAGCAAATTCACAGGATGTCAATTTTAAAGACGAAGAAGACTAAAACTGGAGGTGAGGATTTCGGATTCCGCATGTGAACGTGAAGTGATCAATATGTCTTTTTAGATTTTGTTGCATTCAGTGAACTTGCGATCAGGAACAACCACTCTATTGTGGAATACTGCCGGACGTGCATGTCAGCTTTATCTGGCTGCACTGCGGGTGTTCTTGGGCTAACCGGTCTTCTTGGCTTCCTGTTCTTTTTCCTGAGCGTCTTCGTGCTTTGGGTAAGATTTACATGATGCTTGGTTATCCGTTTCCACCAAGATCAAGTAAGATTGAAGGTGCCGACTCTTTTTTTGCTGGTTGAAGCGTTGAAGATTTCAGTTTTTGCAGCGCTTCTGGTCTTCCGATTTCCTTCGAGTTTTTATTATGAGCGAATGGATGTGTATTGCAGGTGCTGGTTATTTTCAAGGCTGGCAGGAATTGGGAGAAGTATTTTGTGAACCGCAAAAATTTGCTGACGAGTGGTGTGTTCAGTGGTTTGTTCGTGAGTACACATCTTTAATCAAATCGTGACACAATCAATGATAGCTCCTCAATTTTCAGACCTACATCCTGTTTTGGACGTTTTTGTTTGGAATGGTGCACGTCTACTGAAATGGAAACTGTCAAACTCTTCCCCCGCATTGTGTTTCGGCGTTTCTCCGTTCAGTCAGGCCTTCGTAAGTGTGAAACTTACGCTTGCTGGAACTGCCATCACAAACACACAGTGTTCTGCTTGTTTTGTGAGAAGTGCCAAAGGCCTCAAAACGTCGAAGATGTGAATCGTTTGGATTACTTCGAAGTTCTCGGTCTTCCGAGGAAATACCAATTGTCTCGACGAGCTCTTTCGGCATCCTTCCGTGCTCTCCAGGCGAAGCTTCACCCTGATAAGTTTGTGTCTGCGAGTGATCAAGAACAAGTTTTGTCATCCGACAGTTCTAGTCTGGTGAACCGGGCATACGCCATTTTGAAGAATTCGCATTCTCGTGGGTTGCACTTGTTGGAAATTGAAGGGAAAAATATAAAAGATGAAGTAGTAGCGCCAGCATTCCTAATGGAAATGCTTGAAATCAATGAAGAAATTGAGGGATGTAAAGAAAGAGAACGACTTCATGAAATTTTCACCGAAAATGAAGCGAAAATAGCGGCGAATGAGGAAAAGCTGCAAACTGCGTTTGACGCGAAGAATTATGATTCTGCAAGGATGCTTCTAGCTGAAATGAAATATTTTGAAAATATTCGGGAGAAGTTGCGCGCGTTGGGCTTTGGAGATGATTGAGTTTGAAATTACGGTATAAAATGGTCATTGAACGTGTCGGATCCATTTATTGTCCGTCTACATCAGTTCGACTAATACATTACTTTTCTGAAATTTCAGATGACTACAGGTTGTGTTTTCCTGAAGGATGAATGGATTCACACAAAGAAGGCGGTGGTGAGAATGGCCATTTTCCATGGAATTACGTTATTTACATTTTTCGTTTTGTTGCAGGCAATCTTGGAAAAGTTCATCAACTTCAATTTGATGTATTTTGATAAATTTCCGTTTGAAGAAGCGCATCTGAAGACAGAAAAACTCACTGCCGAGGGGAATACTGCCTTGAATTTACTTGATGCGATAGAAGGTTGCTGTTCATTCTCAGTAATCATCGGTGATTTACTAATCAGGTTTTTCGCAGATGAATGCTGCTCAGAATCAAAGGTTGTGTTCAGTTACCTGAAAGGGAGAATACTTAACGCGCTTCCACGTGAGGAATACGGTGTTATGGCGGAATCTTTTCTTGGAAAGGCTCTCAAGTTGGATCCGAAGTTTTCTCCCGCCTGGAACGAATTGGGTGACTGGGCATGGAAACGAGGTGACTTGTCGGGTGCGAAGAAATTTTGCACATATGCAGTTGAAAATGTGAGAACTTCATGTAAATCTGAACATATAAATGATAAAATCGCCGATACTTATTTTAATATTATACTTGATTTCAGGATCCTAGCAATAAGGAAGCCCTCAGAAATTTATCGATGGTCATGCGACATACCGGAGAAGTTGACAAACGGAAGCAAATCGAAGAAAGTTTAAAACTGGTATTGAAAGCGATTTCGTATGATGCCAAAGACGGTCTTAGCTGGAGTTTTCTGGGAAACACGTATTTATCCAAGTTTTTCAACTCGACGCGAGATCCTGCACTCATTCGCAATGCACTTACTGCGTATGCGACTGCCGAGAAGGACCCAAAAATGCGATATCAGTCTGATTTGTTTTACAACGAAGCAGTCGCGTTGAAATATGAAGAAAGTTACCAGAAATGCATTGAAAAACTGGAATATTCTTGCAAGCTTGACCCAGAGTGGACCGCACCCCGTGAAATGTTGAAATCCTTGATCGCCTTCCTTGAAACTGTTCATGATCTCGTTGCGACGAAGGGTAAAGTGAAGACGAAGAGACAAGCTCAAATGATCAAGCAGCTGAGTGAGGAAAGGTGTTGGGGTCCGTATGGGAAAGGAGTATATAAATCGCCGCGTGGAGCCACAGCTGCTTTAAAAAGAACAAAACTGACGGAATTGAAGGATGGAGACAATTTGGAAGCTGTCGTTGCAGGGGTAGTTGTCGCGAGTGTCAACTCACAGGATTATGTTCCTTTGTAGGTTTCTGTATTTTTCTTCTTTTTCTGACCTTAGTCTGACATCCGAAATTAATGTTACAGTTTGTTCTGTATGGTGGACGACGCAGGTACCTGTCTTGCTGTTACGGTGTACAATCTTGCCCGAGGGAAAGGTGTCATTATTGGTGATACGGTAGCGCTACCTGATCCGTATGTTGAGTCGGTTGCGGTGAAGTACAACGATAAGGTTAGTGACGCGATTCCCGTCTTTTATCGGGAGTTTCCCTGCCTAATTCAGTTTTAAAATCGTAACGAATTATTTGAAAAAAATTTGCAAGTGCAGCACACTATATCCAGATGCAATATTTAGTTATGGGGTGTTGAGATTTTTCCCCCTGAAAAATTCTGGATTTAATCGACCGTCTGCTCAAAAATACTGTACATGTAATGCAGCCTTCCGCAGAAATTTACGATACCCTTCTACATTATTAAGTTGAATCAATCTGGATTAACGGGGGTTTTTCTTTTACAGAATTGGAGTTTCAGATCAATCCGAGTGGGAACTCCGTTACTCATGGTCGTAAACGGGAAGAAGCTAGGAGCGTCTCATGTGTGCAATGATTGCGCGACAGCTGAAGGAATTGAATGAGCCCTGTGATTGCGCACTGTATTCGTGTGCTTGAGCTCGCTGCCGTTTTGAATGCCGCTACCGATTCAAGCTTCTCGTAATCACTCTCTCTTTTTTAAAGAAAAAAAAAGTTTGAGGTCGGTAATCTCGCGTAAGGAGCTTTCAAGATATGGTTTACTAATCCAGTGGCATTTAGATATTATCGAAAAAGACATTTTTACCGCCGGAAGTGGCGGTCCTCTCCCATAAAGTTGCATGAGAAGAGCAAGTGTAATAAACTTCCAACAGATGTACTGTAGTACAGTAGTGGGAAGAAATGCTGGTTGCGATGAAAATCGATCCCTGAAAATTGAACATCAAGTCAGATAGTACCAAACGGAACTAGAAAGTTCGCCGAGAATTCTACTCAACTATGTTGCAGCAGTTTGACGAATACCCATCGCATGTTGCTGAAGATCTTCTTTCGTGATTCATAGAGAAAGACATTGTAGCGGTTTTCCTAGTTGAAATGCTCACGAAAATCAGCATTTGAAAAGTTGTGATTGAACTCGTGTCACGGAGCCGCGCGCTTGCTTTGTTTTTTATCAAGTAATATTTGAAACGTTGTGAAGATGGATTTTAATATCAATTTTGTATAGATTCATTTCGCTGTTTTTTTTATTTTTATCAAGGTGGTGGTGGTAACAAACTTCTATGCATTCGCCAACAGGAGATGAGTGTTGTTGCGAAGCAACGCGAGTTGGTCAAAAATCGTGCACCCACTTTATCTTTGGCTGGTTCCCGAGTGAGTGTTGAAAAGTGTATACTGTACCTTATTTTGGTAATTATTGACTTATAACCTATGAATTTCTCCCTCTCTTCTTTCACATAGCTGTCCTTGCAATCCAGACCTAGTGGAGATGTTTCCTCGATCGACGGATCTTCAGGAATTGAGCGCAAGAAGAGGCCCTCTTCAGCAGTTCCTCCTTTCGTTGACGGGGTGAGGTTTAACTTCCTGAGATCTCTGTTGGTTATCTTCATCAATATGACGTATATTTGACTATAAAGCAGTCCAAGACGACTGGTGGAAAGACGACGAAGAAAGTCAAGCCCAAGAGACCGCAATCCGCTTTGCTTCCAAAAAGTGACAAATCGGATGCTCCAAAAATTATGATTAACATTAAGCCATCCATAAAACCGTCAGTGGTGGATTGGGGTAGCGAGATGAGTTCGGAGCCTAGTTTAGGTCGCATGATGCAGAGCAGTCGTAGGAGCAGAGTTTCGGAGGCCGTTCCCTTCAAGGACCCCGATCTGACATTTTGCGCGTCTTTCCTTGCCGCCAGACGAACGCCGGATTCGGTGCTCGATCGCAAGCCCATGTCAAGGGTACAAGAATGGATAGAAGAGATTCAAGCGCTTGACATAGAAGAGAAAAATTTGGAAATGCTTGAAAATGCTGAGGCCGATGAGCTGGCGGTTATGAGCATTGAGGAAGAAGTGTTCGCTTCCTGTCATCAGAGCAGGAAATCTGTCATCCGAGCGGTTCCCGTGAACTCTGCTGAATGCGATTATGGCCTTCAGAATTTTCTCATGAGGTAAGATCTAGTAGAGTGCTGCCCAACATACGGCCCGTGGGCCGGATCAGGCCCGCAATGACTCCTCATCTGTCCGCGGTCCGTCCCCTATAATTTTGAAGGTCCCCTGTAATTTTCAACAGTGGCAGCTGCCACTGTTTAAAATGTGTATTGAAAGATTAATTTAAAAATTCAAAATTTTGCTCCACCCTTCAACATTTCAACGAGGCTATGCTTGTAATTCAATGCAAATAACAGAATAAAATTTGAAACTTACTTCAAAAATCGGAAAATTTGGAAACTCAAAAATTATTGTCTATTGTGGCCTTTGGGACTCCACCTCTGCAATGTGTCCCTTGGCCATGAAAATGTATAATTGTACAGTATTTCCCTTTGCCACACTAGAGTTGGGCAGCACTGATCAGTATTTCTTTTATCCTGTTCTGCCTTGATCTCCCAATTATTAAAGGAATCATGTGTTGGGCTATTGTATACTGCAATGTAATTTTCTTGACTTGCTTATTTCTCAATTTCAGATGTGAAGACGAAAAAGAGATAGACTTGCCAGATTCCCCGAAGAGTAAGCCTCAGCTGGATGATGATTACTTCAGCATTTTGCAAACGTTGCAAATGCTGGATGCGAATGAACCCAGTAGTGATACGCATGGAGCATCAAGTCTGAAGGAGGACGCAGACCTTACTTCACGGCCGGACTCTAGTGAAAACATAAAAAAAGAAGTCACCGGAAAAACCAGGTTTTTGATTATTATTATGCTACGCAAAATATTTTTTCGGCAAATTTCTTCGTTCGTGAACAGTGAAATTTTTGCTCTGCTCGACCATCATTCTGGAGGTTCAAATATTGGAGAGAATCCATCTAGGCCCACATCATTCACCAGTCATTAGTATGTTTTCATGAAATCCGTCAATTTCTTTCCATTACTCGGGATTTTTTGTTGCATTTCATTCGCAGTGCTGGAGATTATATTGATGCCTTGGGAAAAATAAGTATGATGGAGCTTGAGCTACGTGAAAAAACGAACATTATTGAAGACTTGAAAGCTAATCTGGCCGAGCACCGGGAATTACTAGCAAGTAATACTAAAAGTGCAAACAAGGAGTTGCGTCAAAAACTCGAAACGCAGAAAAAGGAATTCGAAGCATCTGCGAAACGTCACATGAACATCATTGATCAGGTTAGTTGAGAAACTAGGATTTCTATGTCCTTGTAAAAGTAGGGTTTTCGTATTCTTGTTCTTGTAACAGTTCAGTTTGTTCACTAGTTGGTTGCAGAAAAACGAGGGTTGGCAGAGCGATGTGACAAGCTCAACGACGAATTGTTGCAAATGGACAAGCGAAAAAAGGAAGAGCTCAATTCATTAGAAGAACGCCATGCCGCCGAACTCAGGCGTTTGAGAAGCTTACAATCTTCGGCAGACAAACTAAAGCGTGATAAATGGATTGACGAAAAAACTAAAGAAATCAAGGTTAGATTTATTTTTATGATTCGCTTTCTTTTATTTTATATCGAAACTCTCGTTTTTTTTGCCTAGGATATGACTGTGAAAGGATTGCAGCCAGAAGTTCAGCGTATGCTAGATACTCACAGAGCTGAGACCGATGGTCTGCGTGCTGCTCACAAAGCCGAACTGAAGGAAGTTGAACGCCGTGTTAGAGCAGAGATGCTTCAAGAAATGGAGAGAATCAAGGTCGAATTCCATAGAGACAAAGAGCTGGCCTGCATGAGTGAACGAGAGATAGCTCGACAGAGGTAATTACAACGTATTGAATGACTTGTTTTTCTTAGTATCATTTGCTGTTGCAAGAGCCACGCCGCTTAATATTACGTGTCTATTTGAAAATGTGTGTCATTTCAGAATCGAAAAGCAATTTGAAGAAGAAGAAAAGCTATTACAAGAGAGACGGTTGAAATTGCTCAAGCAAGCAGAAGACGAGCGAGAAAAATGGGAGAATCTGGTGAGTCGAAATGCTCTCATTATCTTTCACTTTGAAAGCTACGTCAAGCTTTGCGTATTCCAGGTAATTAAAACTCGGGATGAAGCTCAAATGCAAATGCAAACCTTGAGACAAAAATACGAAATGGACCTGTTTGACTTGAGGGAACAGCTTGTGAAAGAAGAAGAAAAGCGCACCAAGGAGAAAGAGGTACGGTTTCCTGTTCGAGGGTTCGTGTTGATGCATGGACGTTGCCGTTAGTTTTATGCTGAGATTTTAATGAGTTCGTTGGAATGTTCAGTACAGTATCTACTTCCCGAAGTTTACATTAAATATGGTGGATTTTAGGAATTGATGACGAACTTCGCTAAGGAACTGGAGCAAGAGAAATCGAAATTATCAGCCGATTTCGATGCTGAACTCGATAATGCCATGAAAGCAAAGGCTCGGGACATTGAGGTGGAAACGTCTAAGCGTTTGGATGCCCTTCGTCGCGAACACTTGGCAGAGGTTGAGCGTATCCGGAATGAGCTCGGCGAAGATTTTGAGATAAAACTGAGGTATTTATCCGCGATGAATGGAACATAAGCAGAAATACAATATATTCGTTTATTTTTTTTATTCCTAATTTAATCGTTTTCTTTTTCAACAGGCGTATGAAAGATAAATACACGAGTGAGATGGAGGAAATGGAAATGCAAGAGAAGAACATACACGCCAAATATTTTGCTGCAAAATCAGAGCTCACCCAGGTTCAAGAAGATTTGATGAGGTACAAAACTTCGTCCGGGCAAATGGAGCGTGAGCTCAAAATGATTTCCTCCGTAAGTACTGATTTAGTAGAGTGTTTCTAAGTCCGCTATTTGCATTTCACGAGCCATTTTGTCTATAGGAATTTGTAGTGCTCCAGGAGGAAAAGAAGAACATGTGGTCCGGCATTGGTGTGCAATTCCAAGCTAAGATTGAATCTCTCGAAGACGAAAACCGGAAGTTACGATTAGACTTGGGTGAAACTCAGGATAAACTCACTAGAGAACGTAGGAAAAGGGAGGAGGATCGTGAATCAATAAAAAAAGAGAAGGAAGATGAAATGGAACAAGTTTTCAAGAGGTGAGGAATCTAATTCGCAATGAAGCACACGCATTGGTTCAAAGCAATGAATCTTCTTGGATGGGGTTATTCATGATTGAACCCCCTCCGGACCTTCGTTTTATTAACCCCTTCGGGCGAAATGGAGAGAAGGGAGGAATTCAAAATGTTACCTTCATTTTTAATAAAGATTCTTCGATTATTTTAAAGTTAACTTGATGAAAGATATAATTTGGGACATCTTTTGTTTGTTTCTTCTGAAATGCAAGGCGCCTCCCAGACGTTTTCAAGGTAGTGGCAAAATTTATGAACCAATCGCATGTCGAAGGTTTGATGATACTGTACAATTTTTCGATGCCAACCTTTTGTCCATCCTCAGAGTCAAGTTCGCTTTGGACAGAAAAGAAGAAAGCATGAACCAACTAAAGCAAGAGTACCAAGATGTTCTCATCCGAAACCAGCATTTGCAGGGTATGCTAGAGAAACAAAAAGGCGATTCCAGTCGATCTTCACAGTCCAAGAAGGCGCTTCCGAGACCCACCAAGTGACCGTAGAAAAAAAAAGGATATTCATGCTCGACCTCATCCTGTGACGTTTTGGCACACAATTTCATGCACAAATACTGTACATTGAATTTATGTGTTGTGATTGCAATTCATGCAGAATAATTTCGGGAATTATCCGTCCGCTGTGTTAATTTTGTTCAATGCCGATCGCAGGTCGTCGAAATGGAGTTCATTTTGGATGTCGTATTGTTGAAAATCCGACTTTATCTAATATAAACGATTGAAAGTCTTAGTTTGAGTCATTCTAATTTCCTCCTGATTAAAAATATCATCAGAGCTATCACCATGTTGAAGCAGTTGTGTCCTAGGCTCTTCAAAAGCAGAGTCATTTTAGCCAGCAGTTCCCCCAGAAGAAGAGAAATCCTCGAAAAAACTGTGAGTACTACATTCAACATTTAATACTAAACACGTGTGAAGTCGTCACATTTTGTGTTTTTCCTTTGAAGGGACTATGTTTTGAGACCATAGTTTCTGATTTCGACGAAGCCACCGTTTCGAAGAATCTTCCTCCCGAGGAATTCGTTCTGACTGCCGCCGACGGGAAGGCATCTGAAGTGTTCCGGCGTCTTGACGACAGCTCATGTTTAGTCGTTGGTTCCGACTCCATGATATGTTTTCGGGGTTCAATTTTCGGAAAGCCGATTGATGTGGCTGACGCCAAAAGAATGCTACACCTGTAAGTGAAGCAACTTGCTCAATGAAACATTTTTTCTTGAAAACGTGATCCACTCGAAACTAACGAAAATAAACTTATCAAAATGTTCACTGACACCGTTTAATGCACAGTATTGCTTACCCTGAAAGTAATCCCTAGCCGAATTCTGTCCAATTGTGGGCCATCAGAATCGAACTTCCAGTTTTGTTCCTAAGTGTTTGAAAATATCAGTTTGCAGAAAATAGCTGATCATAAATTAAAGGTTCTTTCCTAAATTCAGTTTCTCGGCGTTCATGTTTTTTATTTAAAATCAATTAGAATTTGGAAGTCATCTTATCGAACGTCTTAGAGAAAATTTGCCCTGAAATAAATATTTTAAAAAAGACCTTGATTCAGGACGTTCTCGTGTTTGGGCCTTAGTTCTTCTGGAACATGAAGCAATATTCCCTTATTTCATTGCCTCTTTCAGACTGTCATCGTCTGAGCCTCACGAAGTTCTGACAGGAGTTACGCTCATCAAGGGAAGAGGAGTCGAACCTCCTGTGAAAATAAGCTTTGTAGAAAAAACAACAGTTTTCATGAAAGGCGTTCCTGAAGAATGGTTAGATGCATATCTTGCTGTGGGAGAATCAATGGACAAAGCTGGAGCATATGGAATACAAACCGCTGGTGCTTGTCTCGTCGATCGAATCGAAGGTGACTTTTACAACGTTGTTGGGCTTCCGTTGTCTCGATTGACAAAAGAATTCGTAGAGTTGGAAATATTTTGTTGAATGAATGAAATTAAATAATCCGCATACTTACGATCTGACTGCTTATAAATAAATTTGACCCTTTAAGAAGGGCTCACCGTCGTTTTTCTATCGAACAGAATCCTGTAACTCGCCGTCATTTTTCCCGTGTCATGTCTTGTCGATTAGAACTTGAGCGACCCTACGTCGATGAACCCTTCATTTTCCAAGCCAAAAAACCTTTTCGCGTCTGTTCCTACTCTGTTGTTTATTCAATCATCAGTTGGAAATATCGTTTCCTATTCTCACGAAATGGAACTTATATGGGACTTGATCGGGAGTATTGATCTCCATTTTCTGACGCACTCATTTTTTCCTGACACCAAAATGAGCCCTACTCAAGTTCATAGAAAAATATTCCCGAGAGACAGTCTCCATTAAATGTTGATAAAATTAAACGAAGCTTGAAATTTATGTGTGGATATAAGTTTAATTTGAGTAATTATAAATGTCGCTGTTTTCTAAAATGAGCAGTCTTGCATTGGAAAAACAAATTTTATGGTGAATTGATTGAACTAATGCTAGGGAGAAAATTCCTACATGGGTATGCCATGAAGTTTTTATTTTCGCGATCTGATTTTGCTTTTTTGTTACGTCTTGAAAGAGGTACGCGTATGATTTTCATGATTCTGTACATCGTCGAAAACTAATTTTCTCCCTCGTATTTGAATTCGTGGATTTAAAGCAGGTGTATTCTTCATGTCGGCTGCGTCCTTGTTTATTCCATGCATCGATCGATCGATCACTCAATCGTCGACAGCTCGCAAATTCAAATGACCTGAACGCGTTGAGAAAGTGGAAAGATCACCATGCACCATTTTTTCCTCTATCGTCCAGCAAATTAAAACTCTTGAATACATCTTTGAATGTCCTGTGCAGGTGGTGGCCTGCTTTATGGGCATGGCTGATAACTCCGAACAAATTTGAATGGGTAAGTCACACGCGAAAGGGAATTTTTCAGAAAATTTTAGCCAATTCATTGGTTCGACACTTCCATTTCGGCATTTATTTGTCCCTTGTCAACCCCCATCTGGAGATACATGCGTACAGTATTCGGGATGCGGATACAGTACCCTGGAGAAAATGTTGGTTATCAAGTTGGGTTAAACCCAAACTAAAGGCGAATTGGTCCCCTTCAAATAATTTTCATATGTTTATAGCTAATGCGAGTAAATTCGTGCGTGTGGACTCCTTCTACGAACGAAATTCAAGGGACCAGAAAAAATTGCTGTACCAAGAATATTGTTGCATAGAGCCCATATAACATGGGGAGAGAACCCTTTGGGACGAAAGAGTATGCGTGATATGGAGAATATTGGCGTTGAGGGAGTCCTCCTGTACTGTACACTAATTTTGAAAACAAACCAGAGTGCGCTTCCCACGCCAACTTTTAAATTATGCCCGAAATAGGGATAAGTATCTATTTAAACTGTAATTTATCTTACCGGTAATAGTTTTCCAAGTTGGATAAGTTTGCTTGATACCGACTCTCGAAGGGTTCAGAACATAATAGGTACTGTATTTCATTTTTCTTAATTTGGTTGCTGTGGTTTTTTAAAACTGACGAAGAGGACAAGCACAATCTTAAAGCTAAGGCATTCTGAGAACTGCATGCAAAAGAAATCGAAGCTTCAATCACAATAAAGAAGGCTCGTTTCAGGCGTGTTCTGAAGCATAGAAAAATAAACCAAAAACGGTTTTCCTGTCCTACTTTCCTCTTCTATAATGCTTTCAGAAGTTTCAATTTCTAAATTTCATTCCGAAATCTGATTGGAAGCTGCTTTTGCTGCTGAAAAAACACAAATGTTTTCCTTCAGATCACTGTGAAAGTTGTTTGAATAAATATTTGCATTTGCGCGACGTGATTGAGTTCGTTTGACCATTGTCAAGTCGAAGTAGGTTTCCTCGTTTTGAGGTTCTGTATCCGATTTCAGTCGTGGAACCGAAACGACTAACTGAAGGAAGTGGATTATAGAGCAAGCAGCGATGCACTCCACTTAACCGCTCGCGTGGAAATATCTTCCAACTTATCAAAACTAGGTCATTCAAGCCCAAAACCCTACGAATTTTTCAAAGGTTCTTGTGAACTGCTGGGATAATTTACATCACTTACTGTCGGAAGAAATCGATGATCTTGATTTCTTCAAATCTTCGGTACAGTGCTTAGAAGTACCGCAAATGTCATTGTCTTAACTATAATAATACTCATTGGTAAGATCGATGCGCCATTAGGTTGAAGCCTTAAATCTTGAATTTGTTGAGCTGAATTGAGTTGGTTATTGGAAATATCATTTTAAAATACGAAGGACGTCGCATTTATAATTTTAAATGAAGTTGCATGATTCCTGCGAACAGCACACGCATTGCAAGCATATGCATACATTCGCTCTAATTCTGAGGATTATGGGCTGTTACGAAAGCTTTACTGCAGTTATATCCGTGGCGTAAAATGTGTTGCGGCCATAGTTGGAAATGCCAAACTTCGCAGGAAGGTTTTAAACTTTTTTTGCGAAGTTTATAGAAAATTTCCATACAGTTTTTTGATGGAAGATGAAAATACAATTTCTTGATTATTTGAAGTTATTTTTCTTTCAGAAGCCAGGGTAAATTTGTTTGCTGCTAATGTTTGATACATTTTTTATTATTTTTCAATTATCCTGCCCAAAAGTTGAATATTCTTCTCGCCAGCCGTAGAAAATAATTCTGGAAAAAGAATCTGCTGTAATACTTCACATGGCGAATATCTGCTGCTGCTGCTCAAGACATTTTAGGCCTTCTTTAAGGGATCTTCGACGCTTGATATATTCAAAAATAAATGCCTTTCTCCCGGGGATGAATTGATTTTTAAACGTAAATGAGGCCTTTTTCTAAATTGAATCGAGTGATCTCAAATGTGGCATTCATTACATTCAGGTTCAAACCCAAACCGGATATATACACAGGCAATCAAAAATAATATCGTTTTTATGCACGCTAAAAATACAAACTTGAATTTGAGGAAAATCCAAGGATTATGTTGATCATCAATTCAAAAATCATCCTTGAATGGATCTTCATGCGAAATTATAGTATACAATACGGTAGTTGGATCTTAAAAGCAGCCGGAAATGAGAACTATATTAGGCTGGCCGCATTATTTTTTCCCCAATATTGGGATGATATATTTTTCAACGTACTTACATGATGCGGGTAAAATACTGTAATTTATGGGACAAAATAATTGATCAACCGCGCCTATGTGTAACGTTGGTCCATACTCCATACAGATAACTTAGCACATATATTGGCGTGATTATTGATCAAATGCACCGGTTAACTGAAGTCAGTCTGATCGGAATTCTGTATTATATAAGTGATCATGGTTTGGTGAGATTCAAGTGGGCATGTAACCAGATGCAGCCTGCCTGACATGCAGGAAACAAGATCAGGTGTCTAAATGATTATAAGAACTGCATAAAGAAAAATGAATACGTGATATACTCTGCTGGTATTAAATGAACGGATTTAACAATAAAATACAGCTTTTGGCGAAACCTTTGTACTACAGTATTTTCGTTTTCGAGGAACGAAGTAAATTTATTTACGCAGTGTGAGATCTGATGCTAATAACCTCTTGATGTCACCAGCATCACCTTCGTTCAAAACGAACAGCTTGCTAATGGAAGAATAAAAGAAGTACGGTATTATCTGGATCGGGCGTTTGCACGCCTATATCGTTCATCTACGGTCATGGCGATTTTTCACGCACTCGCAACCGCGGGTGACGAGCAAAACACACGCACGGTTTTTGTTCTTCCTATATTGCCAACTCAACCCTGACGAAGGATTTTTTTTGTACAGTTGCCATTCTAAAATGCTGGAGCAGATTCTCCGCTGTGCCGTGGAATGATGAGGGGAAAACGTTTTTCATGGTCGCCGGAGCTTGAGATTTTCTTCTTTGACCCCGAACGAAAACAAAAAAAACTTCGGATATACTGCACTGCTGTACCCGAGGAAATAAGTGGCTTGCATATATCACGTAGTACGTCATATACAGTACGACCAAAAACGGCAATCCTTATTAATCGAAAAAGACCGAGTGTTCCGAAGTATCGGGTCTCGTACATTTTCTAAAAATATAATAACAAGTACAATAACGCATATCGTGCTGATTATCTTTTCAGCTGAACAATAAGGACTTTTGATCCGATTTTTGATTTTCAAAATTACGAAAAACCACCATGAACTCCGATGAGAACCTATATACTGACGATTAACAAGGACCGAAATCAACGAATCGTTGATCCCTCAAATTTGTGTAGAACTTCAGTTTCCCATCTTGTATCTGTTGAAATGAATTTCAGTTTTAGAAAATCCACCATTCCAAGTATATGATGGAATGAAATCGAACTTTTTTCGAAGACCAGCGTATATACAAGCCACGTGCATGAGACGCGTATCATGTATATACAGTACTTGTATCACATTGAAATTCCTTTCATTAACACACGTCCTTCACGATATCGGTAGGCATGTTCCTGTGCTGCTGGCCCCATGAGGTTTTTTTCTTCTATTTTTTCCTGGGCTCATTTACCTATAAATATTTGAAGATTAATGCAGAGGAAGATCCGGCGCCTTTGTCCTATGGAATAGATGGTGTCCTATGGAAAAATGTTGGAAACTGTAAATAGTGCTGAGCTGATTCCAGAAATTAAAGTTTAATTATACCGTACATGCGTGTACTGTAGTTCGATTTTCTTTTTGCACTTATTTTGATTGAAAGCTGGCGTTGGGCTTTAAACGAAGCCAGACTCGTTGTCGAATAAGAAATCGTTATGCACAGACTCTGCTGCTCGCACCTTCTTTATTCATCAGACATACGCTCATCTTATTAGTATTAATTTGAATTTTCATGTCGTTCTTTAAAAACAAAAATTATACGTGTAGGTTGCGACACTAACACAATAACAATAAGTTATGTGCATTTACTCCGAACCCAAATGAAAGTGAACTTTGAATAGACATCACGGCTATTCTCGCATATACGAAAGATTTCGCGCATGGATGCACCTGATTAGAAAAAATTGTACTTCATCGTATGATAATCACGATCGAAATTAATTCCTTATAGTACGGCTGAGATTCCGCGAATAAGTTAAATTGAGTTCATAAAATTCTGCTCATAATTCGAGTATTCATCGACAAACTCCTGTAACGCATATTTTTTCTCTTGAAGTAAAACTGAATGGCTTTTGAGAAGAATAAATGAGTGTACCGTGAGTCGAATGGATATGCCATGCGCATGCACGGGGGTCAAATGGGGGTCAAATCAACACAAAAATAAAAATATAATTGGTCGTGAAGGACATCGTGATATTCCACCGATACGCCTGATTTACTTATTCGACTCAGTATGCCGTCACGCACCGCGTGAAGAGAAAATGATTTCCCTTTTCACAGTCGCATCCGCTTGCAAGAAATATATACTTAAAGACGTTTTCTAACCGAGAAATTCTCCGCTAGCCCATCATGACCATGAATGCCGACACTTGAACAGCTTTCACTGATCATGGTTTTGTTTTGCTAACATTTTGAAGCGTGATTAATTCTAAACAAATAAGCCAAGCTGTAGAAGCACCAGCACTCGAGAGGAATCGTTGAACATTTCAAGCAAGATTTATGATAACCACACAGACGATCCGATTTCCTCATCCATCCTAAAA